CGGTCAATTTCCTCTCCTTAGTTCCCTTGGGAATTGAATTAGCTCAATTGGTAGCTCAGCCAATCAGATTGCAGCATTTGCGTTACTATGCTAGTAGAGTTCTACCAACAGTAAATATCAAACATTTTGTAGAGTTCTACTCCTTACGAATCTTTGGTCCATCGCATTGACTATCAGTGTATCTTGCTAGGGTCATTTAAAATCAGTGAGAAACAAGTGGAATTTTCTCATTCGTTATTAAACGAGGAATCTGGACTTCCCAAACACTAACCGGTATGGCTCTAGAGACCCCTTCTCGCCAATTAAAGCGGGCATTTTCTTTGAGCTATTTCTCCAATTAACTTACGTGTTGTTAAATCCTGGATGATCAAGATCGTGGCAAATGCAGGCCGTCATAAGAACGAGTTGATCCATTTTTGAAAGCAAGTCTTTTAGATTGCAGAGATGGATGATGCAAAACATCTGAGGACAGGGAAAAAGGCTTAATTTCTTTTCAATTCAACGAAGTGAAAATAATATCTAAATATCTGAATTGTAATCTAGTGCATGTCAAGGAAAAGTCCTGCTTCAGCCTGAGACCAAACAACGGTAGCCTGGAATTAGCAGCTGGAGGTAAAACCAAAAAAGTCTTTTGCTAAGAGATTGGGCATTTGCAGTAGAAGCGCTGAGAATATATGAAATGGACTGTCATTTGAAGTAATAAGGAACGAGGCAAATGATTATCGTTAATTAAGAAGTTCTTGAAGATATATTTGTTTGAGATACTGAAAACAACACTATAGCCCTCCTTCTCTTCGATGGTATTTCCCTAGATCTTTTTTTTCCCTTCATACCCTCTGCGTTCAAAATCAGCCACGTTGCGTGACATTCACATTCCCGCCTCAACAAGCAAATGGATCGTCACCCAACGCTCCTCTCCAACAGTACCGTTAGGAGGAACGTTACGTCACGTAACGGCAGTGACAGAGATTAAGGTAAACGTGACCTAGCTTACCATCTGAGTGACGCAGAAGCAATGGCGAAAATTGTGAAAAGGATTGTTTCTGTAGTTTTGTTGAATAGCCACCTAGAAAATATCACACAAAGGTAGCAATGACTGAAGATTTCGTCTCTCACATCGTGTAAGTAATCAATTAGCTAATGAAGAGTTAATTTACGTTAAAAGTTCCTTTTGGCTAACATCAGAGTTTCCCCGGTACCATCTAGAGTATTGCGCCCGACACTGTAACAAAGAAAGCTATTCCAAGAAATCTTTATTGCAACTTAAATCTGCAATATGAAGTTGTGCCGTTTGTACATGTTAGAATTGGTACTTCTCAGTGGCAAGCAAGCCCACAAAACGAGACTTTAGGCATCTTTAATAACGGGACTACTTTAACATTTTCCGGCGATCACCTCCGTTTCGTTCATTTTACATGGAAGTGATCTGATCGTTTGCTTACCAGAAACCGCCTCAACACAACACTGTTGATTCCAAATTCTTCGGTCAGTCCCAGCACTTGGTACATATGCTCCATGAGGGACAGCATCTGAAAATGAAAACACCCGCGTGTTTTGTTGTGCTGTAACACTTAGATCTATATCGCAAGGCGCCTTGAAGCTGAAACAAAGCAATTCTAGACTACTCTAGATATTCCCATGATTGAAAACAGTAAAAAAACACCAACTGATTAGCTAAAAGGGCGTACACACATTCCGTTAATTGGCTCTTTGTTTTGTCGTTTAAAACAGTGGTCTAGAGCCCTAGCCTTGAGCATCGTTATACTTGAGATATTTAACAATTAGCGGATTGTAAGCTCGCGATTTGTTATCGCGTTATAATTGACGAGGACGCAGCCAGAGTCCACTATTACGCACAGAAATCGAGAGCAAGTAATCTAGGGATTGTCTTCGTATATTAAAATATACCAGTCGTTCAAAACTTTATCTAAATCCTCTTCACAGTCACACCATTTTGTTAACAACTCCTCACTGCTAGGTTACTCACTATCTATTCAACAAATAGTTTATGAGCTCGAGATTTCTATCGCGCATAGAAATCGAGAGCGAAAAATCTAATTGTTTTAGTATGAATCTAGTAGTCGTTCAAAACTTAAACCAAATCGTCTTCACAGACACTTCGAAAACGCCAAGAAGCGGCCGTCATTTTGTTAGCAAGGGCACACTGCTATGCTACTCACTATCTATCACAGAATAGATGGTGAGTAGCGTAGCCAATCAGGCGAACGGCATTAGTGATAGAACGCTAGTATTTTTATACTAATCACGGATATATCTAAGTTATCGAATAGATAAATTTTGAGAGGGATAGTGACTTAGCAAATCGTTGACACCTTGGACTCTTCATCGAGCAATCTGGTCTCGAGTCTGGCCTGGGGCGAGTTTAACGTTTTTGGCAAGACACTTCACTCTCACTTACTAGCTAGCTGTCTGCAAACCTTCCGCTTATATTATTAAGAGCAACTCAACAATATAGCACAATACCTCATTAGGTTCCCAATGCCAGATGTTAAAAATCGGTTCCCTCAACTGCTCGACCGTGGTTTGAGAGAGCGTGTACTGCAAAGAATTTCAGAACAGACATAAACCGGCACAATTATCTGAAACAGAGGATGGAGCGATTCTGTCGGAACACATCTAAATATGAAACAGCAAGTCGAGTCTGAGTAGCAGAAACAATTGCTTTTACAACAAGAAACTCTATTCAGTCAGTCACGACCATGGGACAATAAAACAAAAGAAAACTAAAGCAGGCTCCCCACCATCTTCAGTGGAAAATTTGAAAATCTAGGTCCTTTGAGAGCCTATTTGTGGTCGCATTCAGTTAGCATTTGGGACGAAATAGTGAACGTTTTAAAAGGATTTGAAAGAAAGATTCAGTCCATGCTCGCCAAAAACGGGGCTTTTGAAAACACACAGATCTTTTGTTATTTAAGTGACTTACCTTGACAAAGTTAGGCATAGGCCTTGAAATACTGATGTTTCTCTTGTTATTCTTATTTGTTTTGACGTTGTCTTTTATGGCTTGCCAAGTGATTCTAGGAATGAAATGAGTAAAATATTCATCAGCCATTTGGTTTTCGATGCAAATGATACGATATATCGTCCTCTAATATCCTTCCAAGATTTTATTCTTTGACACTCTGCATCGAAGAAAACGTTCTCAGCAGAACCCTTTAATGATTGTCCGGCAGGCTTTAATTTCGCTTCAACTTCTAGTAATGCCACCGCGTTTCCCCGATATGGACGTCTTATTTATCAGTATACATATAAGACTTTGTTGAACTAGCTTATTTCTTTGTGAAGGAGCAAGGAAACAAGCGGAGCTGGAAAGAGAAGAGATCGGGAAAATATAACAGAAAGACGAAAAATAAGAAGAGAAAGAGACGCGGTCAGGAGGAGGTAGTGCTAGAGCATCAAAGGGAGAGGGTGGAGGAGAAGGTGGTGATGGTGGTGGTGGAGGAGGAGGAGGGGGGAGGGGACGAGAAGGACGACGAGGTCGAGGCGCAAGGAAGGAGAAGAAGTTAGAGAGAGAAAAAAGATAGGAAAGAGGGAAATGGGAGGACTCTGTGTTATAAGTCGATTAACAACTCTTTTTTTCTCACAGCAGTAATCCAGAATGCATTGGAACGCTGGCCAGAGAAGCTTGCTTTTCAGGTTCAATAAAGTAAAGATTTTTTAAGAAAAAAGGAGTTAAGTGTGAAATAGAAAACGCAAGTTGGATAAACTGAGATGTTTAATGACCTTCCAACAAGAATAGGATAAAATATTGAAAACAAACTTTGTCTTCAATCAATTTTCGTCTTTTAATCAGTAAAAAAACCTTGTAATGAATTCCTTTATAATTGTTCGCTCTTAACTACAAAAAGTCACGCTAATGACAATTTGTTTTAACTGTTTCAAATGTTGTATTTTTAGAATCAATAACTTTGATATATTACCTGTCTTGTCGTATTTGTTCACGTATTTCTGTGATTTCTGCACTCAAATGCTGCATTTCGATGGCTTTCAGTGCTTCAGCTTGTAAACGGAAAGTGATAGGTTGTAAATGGTTAGAAACGTTCTCTATTTACCTCAATATGAATGAAATAAACAATAGCCTTCAACAGGCGCGAAAATATGCTCGGATATTTGTCCTTGTACATTATCTGTTCTGAGAAGCGAACTGTTTTTCGAGAGCAGAGCTCGAGGAAAACTGAGCTTTGAAGAACAGATAATGTCCAAGGACAAGCATCCCAGCATATTTTCTCGCCAAATGGAGGCTATCGTGTTCATCATCTTTCGAATAATTTTCACAACACGCGCATTTTTGAAAATAGGGAATATCACTCGGATATTCCTCATTTTGAGCTGGGGCATATTCGGTCAAATGACGCGTCTAGACCAAGCACACGCGAGCGAAAATATTTCATGGATAATATAAACAACCCTACCGTCTTTTTATATTAGTACTTGAAATACACACATCCGATATAAACCTGGGAACCAACTTAGTCAGATTGAAGGTTGTGAAGATCTCGTTTTGTTTTAATGAATCAAATTCTCGAGTTTATTTTTCTCGAATTCCTACCTTCCACTTTTCGTTCCAAGTGAGACAGTTGTTTGGAAAGTTCCGACTTCATTTGAGACACCGTAAACGTACTGTGGGTGAAAAAGAATTAATGAAAATAGACCGGATTTACTCCAAGTGAGTCAGAGTCATGTCGACTGGTAACAAAATACGGCATATACGGCACCATATCCGAATAACTAAATGCAATAGCAAATGTAAAATTTATCGCCTTTTCGGTGCTACCACTCGATAGCGGACAGAGACCAATTTGCGCAATGAACACGTCATTCCAGTTAAAGACGTGCAATAAAATTTTATTCATCAAACAATAAAGCTGAAATCATATAAAGTAGTTTGACCTGATAAACTTGTCAGCAACCTGGCTAAGCACGTTTGCAAAGATTTCCTCGTCTCCTAGAATGTGGCATTAAATGATACATAGTTAATACTTTATCAATACATCAAATTTCTGACGTTTCCATCCATACAAGACTAACTGCAGCACTCTACACGCTGGATTTTCTAAAATGACGAGAAAAGCGTGGAAGCCTCTTGATTGGCTGATGAAGAAAATCGTGCTTGCTGTGATTGGCTCCACACAACATGCTCTATAAATTAACAAGATAGAAAGCTCGGGAAATACGTTCAATAAAAGTCGTTTAACCATTAAACCAACTTACCATGTCTTTGATTCATGGAGCCGACGACGATCCTGTAAGGTGAGCTGAAATATAAAACAGAGAGAATATGTGGTGATGATATAAAGATGGCTTAAACAACCACACAGTTACCGACTTACAGTCTTTGCGAGTGCTACCTACTTAGTTGGGAAAGTGCTAGAATAATTAACATTGGAAGGTCGTGGGTACGACTCTTGCAGTGGCCTCAGATTTTTTTTTTCTCTGTCCCACACTCGTGATGACAGAATTTACATCTTTCTAAGAAAGTATTTCTTAAGAGAATTAATACGGTAATAAAATCTGCTTTCAGAACTCGACGTAAGGGTGACTACGGTAACGGCCGCCCCTAATTCCATGATATAAACTTATGAAGTATTGTTGTCTGGCTGAGTATGGTATTTACCATGTTCCCCTCACTATTATCGCAGAAGGATTCTATCGTCTTTGTTTGGAGGTGTATGAGTAAATTTAATGCTTTTTGCATTATTGTTAAAATCATTATCATTATAAGGGTGGAGCTCCGGTTGCGCGGATATATATTATATAACAGGAATTCACATACCGTGATGTATTTGAAGGCAGGTTTGGCTCGATACACACTGTGCTTCCGTCCTGGGCCTTTAACATCATGTTGGACCAGCTAGAATATTGATGATTATAAATACAGAGAAATCCCGTTAATCCGGTCACCAATGGGCAGTATTAAAGCGGTTCTTTAAATTAAATAAGAAAATGATTGACTGACTGAGCTTTTGTTGGGACTATATAATTAAGTGACCGTTAGGCGGGGTTCCACTGTTAATCATATATGCCTTTGTAAAATTAAGGATGACTATCACGAGTACTTCCAGAAATCCGATCTGCGCACGCGTGGGCAAAGTCTGTAGTAATACCCAGTCCGAAATTTTTTGTATGTAAATCTTCAACAATTTTTCAGTGTCTTTCAGGGCAACCTTTGGAAAGCCAGGGTTCCGATCCCTTCGGGTTAGTTTTACTCTCACTGCAGAACTTGGTTTAAATTTTCATTACATAATGATTGGAAAAACGTTACAAATTTTTTGGAGTATTTCAGACGGTCATCAGGTCGTCAGCCTTGCGAAGATATAACAATCGAGCAACAACGGTATTGCAATGTAACAACAGTTGCGAGGCAACCTGAACAAATCATTGCATGCCCTGTGTGATGAAGCGTCCAAATTTGGTCTTCAAGTATAACCCTGAAAGATATAGGCGTTCAGACAAAACCGTGGTTGTTTACCATTTACTCGGAGAAACCGGTTCGTTTACGGTTTGTGCAAATGATAAAAGTAATTGCCTGATAGTAAGTTCCGTTCGGATTAGCCATTTACTAAAAAGAAAACAGTTTACCGAAAGAGACTAGCACGAGTTCAACCTGATCATACGTCCAAGATAGCGGTGAAGAATCGTAAATGGTAACCACATTTTCCTCTCGGAAATTTCGGTTGGAAATTTTGGACTACCTTTGAAGACGTTCCGTTTGTTCCAGAAATTTCCCGGTCGGTCGAGCCAAAACTACCTTGCCATTTACATTCTGACCGAAATTTCCGGAACCTTTGGGTAAATGGTAAACGACCCGTGTTTGTGGATCTGACAAGTCAGTCTGCCATCGAAAGAGAGGGCGATGTTGATAGATAGACGATAAACTAAATGATAAAATATGATTTGTCAAAATCACAAACTTACCGGCTCACACCAGCGGCAGAGGCAAGAAGGTCCTTGATATCTCGAGAACTACTGTGCTTTGAAAACACTACCTACACGTCCAAAACAACCGTGCACAAACAAGCAAATCAATGAACAAGTAAATTACTAAGTATATAAATCGATTAATCTTCCATCTTGCAGCTTGCATCTTAGAAAACGACGGCATGGTACTAAACTCTTCATTTCCTAAAACTTGAATTTGACGATTACCACTGGTTTTGAAAACTAAGTGGGACAAGTCTAACCTGTGGAGAAAACAGAATTTGTCGTTAAGCAATCCCAAACTGAACGTAAATTCGATTTGAACATAATATGGACAATTCGTACCCTCCGTAGGAAACGTCAGACCGCAGCATTTTCTATCATGTTGAAGAGGAAAGTTTCTTTCTTGTGTCGAATAGGAAACGTTTCTTTCTTTAAACACATAAGGATGGTGAACAAGACTTCACACATAACTCGTCATTACTGGACGTGAACGCGATCTTTCACCAAACCGGCAATTAAATAAATTAGTGAAAAGAAAATATTTTACGCACACTTGCAAGCTGTTAATTCTCATCATAAAGCATGTCCGTAGTTGACAAAAGAATTAGGATAGTTAGTTTAACAGCAATTAAATCTATTGAAAGGAAGTACTATGTGACATGGAAAAAGGAAACAAACAGAACGACAAAAACCTGCACAACCACAGTTGAAATTTCCCGATTACCTTATGTTTGCGTCCGTCAACATCAAGGTAAATCGTTTTAAGGTTCGCCGAGGCCTTGCCTGAAACTCCGTTCCCCATGTTCAAGTCCTTTTAATTTTCCGGGTGATTTATTCGCTCAACAATTCTTTTGTTTA